TTATATATATATATATATATATATATATATATATATATATACACACACACACACACACACACACATACATATAGCCTGTAAAATGATTTTGGTTTTGAAAAGCCACATAAAATTTAGTATTTCTAATGGGAGAAATAATTGCTAAAATGACTGGAATAATTAAGCAAACCAAAAGAGAGAATATAAAGAAGATACATAGTTTCCTAGAACGTTTTACCCATGTGCAATATTCAATAGTCCCTATTCCATACTGTCATTTGCATCATCTCAACCAAAGTTCAGAGACAACTGGTCCACAAATAACATCTTGTAAAAGGATAATCTGTGTTACCAAGATACTGACTGACATTGGGGAAATCACTAACATAGAATCATGCATTCCCAAAACTTCACTCATTCTAAAGAACTGAGCCTATACAAAGGAATAAAAACAAAGGGTAAGTTCTAAAGGAAAAGTCACAGTAGGGAAAAGAAAACAAAAAATATATGAAAAAGAACCTTCCCTTTTTCTACTTTGGGACAGCCTTTCTCTTCTTAGAGACCCCAATCCTTGAGCTGGAGGAAGAGATCAGCAGGAAGTGCCCTTTCTGGAGGGAACGCCCCTCTGGGACTGGTCTCTAGGACTCGGGCCAGAACTCTGCTCATGAAACAGCACAGCTGTCTATGGGTGCGGAGCTCTCTGAGGTCACTGGGGAAACAGGGCACAAGGCCTGAGCAAGAAATCAGTCTGAGACAGTAAGACAGCACCCTTATCCCATCGCGCCATTTGCTAAGCCTGCTCTGAAGAAATGTCCTTCCCCAAGATAAGATGTCTTACTCTAGGATGATGACTACTCACACGTAGGGCACACCTCGGCTTACCCTCACATCCACACCCACTCTTTCTCTTTTTATTCTAGTAACATAAACATGCAATACTTATTCCTCTATTCAAAAGAAACCTGCCCCACGGATGCATCTCATAGACACAGGCATTCTCTATATCCACTCACAAAATTAATCCAACCCCAAATCAAAGCCCCACATTGGTAAACACCCTCTAGATGGCCTTTTTGCTTGGCTCAGTGTCTCAGAGCCTAGACATAAGGAATAGGCAGAGCTCTGAAACTCCACCAGACCTTTCCTTCTCCCATTCTGGGTCACATGGACAATCCAGAATCAATTCTTTCCACCAGCAAGACACACAGTCAACTCTGTCATCCACACTTTCCATTTTACATCCTCAAAAGCCAAGCTCTCAACGGGCCCAGACATTTCAGAATGACATTTTTCCCTTGGGCTCTTACTTTAAACCTCACTCTACAATAAAGTTCTCAAGAGAGTCTCTTTCTTGTTCATCTCCCCATCCAAAGTCTCAGCCCACCGCTTAAGGAATAACTCCTAACATACGTCTGCTTTGGGAATGTTTACTCCCACTGTCTCCAGTCCTTAACCAAAAGATACATGCACCAATTAAATTTCACCTCCCCTGCACCAAAGAGAAATATACACTGAGTGGCCAGATTATTATAATCTCTGAATGCATAATAATCTGGCCACTCATTATATATATTAGAGGCCTGGTGCATGAATTCATGCATGGGTGGGGTCTGGCCAGCCTGGCCAGGGGGAGGACATAGGCATTGGCTGGCCTGCCTGTTGGTCGAACTCCTGGTCTGCTCAAGGGGACAATTTGCATATTAGCCTTTTATTATATAGGATATATACTTAGTGGCCAGATTATTATGTGTTCAAAGATCATAATAATCTGGCCACTCAGTGTATATGCCTTGTTATACCAGACTTTTGTCAAAACACAACATTCCATGGATAGCATTACTACTATATGTTACAAGGATTCATCTCTTTCCGATGGTATTTCCTCCATTCCTAAAACTATAAACACACATTACTGAACCCATCACAGGTAGTAAAAGTGCAGAAAAAAAGAAAGGAAACAACAGATGGGAAAAAATGATCAGAGCCTCTCTCTCCCCATTGCAAGCATCTGACTGTTTAAGTGTATTGCTTCTATCCTATAAGAACAAAATACATTTTGCCTAGTGAAGCCTCTCTTTGTTTTCTTGGTTCAGAACTGGGGGAAGAATGTTAAGAAAAGATATAATTATTCTAGAATAGAGTAAGTTTTTTTGTTTTCTTTCGGAAATGTGTAATCGTGATGGATCTCCCCTAGTTGCTTCGATCTTGAAATCTAATTTGCTTAAGTTGGTACCACGCTAGAAATTCATAAAGAAAGAAAATCATATCTAATAAAATAGTAATATGCAAATTGACCATACCTCTGTTACACCTACAAGCCACAACCACCAGCCAATCAGGAGTGAGTATGCAAATAACCCAAACAAGATAGCTACAGCCACAGAGAGAGCAAGAGGCTTGGGTTTCCCCGGCAATGGAGGAAGCCAAGTTTCCGCAGCCCTGCCTGCTTTGGCCTCTGCCCAAGGCTATAAAGTTTTAATTATAGAAGATAAATAAATCCCAACAAAAATGGCTGCCGGCCACAGAGCGAACAGGAGGCTTGGGTTTCACCAATGTTGGAGGAAGCCAAGCTTCCTGCACACCCTGGCTGGCTCAGGCCTCTGAATTGAAACTTCTACAAAGTTTCAATTATAGAAGATTAATCCCCACAAAAATGGCTGTGGCCACTGAGGGAACAGGAAGGTTGGGTTTCCCTGGTGATGGAGGAAATCAAGTTCCTAGCCTGCCCTGGCCTCTACTGAAGGCTACAATGTTTCAATTATAGAAGATAAATAAATCCCAGATACCGTGTTTCCCCTTAAATAAGACATTCTCCGAAAATAAGACCTACTGAGTGAAATATAAGGCATCCCCCCGAAAATAAGGTCCCCCCTAGGCTAAACATGAGAGATTTGGTCCACTGATTCTGAAAGAAATGGAGTCACAAGAAATTCACCAGGAAATTCAGGAATTGGATTGTTATGATGATGTTCCAGAAGATGATGACATGATTGTCATTGAATAAATGAGTAAATTTTTGATACTATAGGATTCACAGTTTGTCTGGTTTGTGTTGACAACTACCATACTACTGTACCATATACAGGTAATAAATTTCCTTTATTTTCATTTAACAATAAATGTGTACCATATTCTTCTTTATGGAAAAATAAAACATCCCCTGAAAATAAGACCTAGCGCATCTTTGGGAGCAAAAATTAATATAAGACACTGTCTTATTTTTGGGGAAACAGGGTACCAGGGTCTCTGCTTGGGCTGCTGGGGGGCATGGCTGGTCTGAAAACCACCAGAGGCCCCTTGCCCAGGCAGCTCCATGTCCCAAGGGGACCCCCACCCTGATTCAGAACACCAAACAGGGCAAACCAGCTGGTCCCCACCCATGCACCAGGCCTCTATTCTATCTAATAAAAGAGTAATATGAAAATTGACCATCACTCAAACACACAAGATGGCTGTCCCATGTGGTCAAAGATGGCTGCTCCCATGTGGACAAAAGATGGCCTCCACAAGATGGCCAGCAGGGGAGGGCAGTTGGGAGGGACCATGCCTGCAGAGGAGGGAAGATGGGGGCAACTGGGCTTGCAGAGAAGGGCAGTTGGGGGTGACCCAGGCCTACAGGAGAGAGCAGTTGAGGGGGACCAGGCCTGCAGGGAAGGGCAGTTAGGGGTGACTAGGCCTGCAGAGGAGGGTAATTAGGGGTGACCAGGCCTGCAGGGGAGGGCAGTTAGGCATCAATCAGGCTGACAGGGGAGTGGTTAGGGGATGATCAGGCTGGTAGGCAGAAGCGGTTAGGGGCAAACAGGAAGGCAGGCAGGCGAGCAGTTGGGAGCAGCAGTCCTGGATTGTGAGAGAGATGCCTGGGCAGTTGGACATCCCTTGAGGGTCCCAGATTGGAGAGCGTGCAGGCTGGGCTGAGGGACATAGCCTCTGTGCACCAGGACTCTAGTCATAAAATAAAAGTCCCTCTTCTAATGATCACTTATAAGTCATCTCCTTCCTACCTTCAGTAAGAGGAATTGATTGAAATAAAGAAGACATGGGGTCCTAAACTCCAATTACCTTTGCCACAGATCCACTATATCACTTTTCTTTAGTAAATGAGGTTGGTTTGGGTTGAAAATACGAAAGATTAAAAAAAATATTAAGCAGCCAATCCCCTTCACATCCCCATATCACCCCCTTTCCAATTCCTTACCTACAATTAATAATCTAGTATCACATAGACCTCTTCCTCTTACTCTGTAAATAATAAAAGCTCTCAGACTCTACACATACAGATATTTTGTCATTTAAACCATCCCCAAAACCTGACAGCTACATATTTTGTTTTCTTTTAATATATTTTTATTGATTTCAGAGAGGAAGGGAGAGGGAGAGTCAACTAGAGAAACATCAGTGAGGAGAGAAAAATCATTGATGGGCTGTCTCCTACATGGCCCACACTGGGGATTAAGACCACATCCTGGGCATGTGCCTTTACTGGGAATCAAACCATGATCGTTCATAGGTCGCCACTCAACCACTGAACCACCTGGCCAGGCCTGACAGGTAAGCTTCAACATTCCCAACATACAACTGTGAAAACTGAGGCCTTACGGGCAAATAATGCCAAAGAACTAAGTCAGTCAATAGAGTTATTTAAAATAGGCCTTTAGCCAAAACCGGTTTGGCTCAGTGGATAGAGCGTCAGCTTGCTGACTGAAAGGTCCCGGGTTCGATTCTGGTCAAGGACATGTACCTGGGTTGCAGGCACATCCCCAGTTGGAGGTGTGCAGAAGGCAGCTGATCAATGATTCTCTCTCATCGATGTTTCTAACTCTCTATCCCTCTCCTTTCCTCTCTGTAAAAAAATCAATAAAATTTTTTTAAAAATTTAAATAAAAATAAAATTTTATTTATTTAAAAATAAATAAATAAAAATAAAATAGACCTTTATTAATATTGCAAGTTATTGAGCATTGTAAAGACTGTACAGATTTAGGACTCCCAATAATTTTTAATTAGATTTTTAAAATGCATACCTGTTTTTTTCTTGAGTTTGTTTTGGGAAGCAGGTCTGTCGATAACGCAGATGTCAATGAAGAACAGCATAGCTCAGGAAAAGGGTTTGGAATAGATGACATTTCCAGAACATCAAGATCTTTCTTTTTTCTCCTACACCAAGAGAACATAGAATGTAATTTACATAAAACAGAAAGTAAAATGTAATTGCTGTCAGAATTAAAAAACTAAGGATAACATGCACCACTCGGTGACAAGCGTCTGTGATGTACCTTCTGTGGGTTAAGATAAAATGCTAATTAATATTCAATCATGTATAGTTTCCTATCCTTTGGAAAGAGGGAAGATAAAAAGTCACCAGGCATGAAAACCCTATTTCCAGCACTTTGGTCATTTCCTTGAAGCCCAAATACATACTATATATTTATGAATGCAAGAATCACCGTTAGGAGTTAGGCATTATTATGCATCCATTAAATTGACAAAGTCTATAAAAAATAGAGTGAATTCATCCCTCGCTATTTTACTAATCACTTTTGGAAGTTATGGTTTATTAATTATAGCTGTGGTTCATCTCACTTCAAATTTCATTCACAATGTTGCCCACACACAGTCTGCTGGCTTTTCAAGCACTTATAGATACCAAATCGCAAGGCTTGAGGAGGTAAGTGAATAGAACTTGCAAGTGTAAATATCTAGTCTACTGGAAAGTAATTTTAACTTCAGTGAAGTTGAAGCACTTTGAAAATCTGGAGAAAGTACCCATTACATGTATGCATGTAAAGGACTCGAGAATGGCGTGTGGTAGCAACCCTTTCCTTTTCTAAAGCATGTGTAAAATCGTGAACTCCAAAGGCACTTCGTGCTGAATGCTAGGGCAATTGGGAGACCTTTCCCAAGCCTCTGTTCTTTCACTGCTCAAGTGTCAATCCATGCTCTCCCTCCTTCGGGGTCGCTGTAAGACTCTATGTGGGAGGTGAACTCGTTTAAGGTAGGATTTTTTAAATCTATAAAATAAACCGAAACCTGGTTAGCTCAGTGGATAGAGCGTCAGCCTGTGGACTGAAAGGTCCCAGGTTTGATCCTGGTCAGGGGCATGTACCTGGGTTGCAGGCACATCCCCAGTGGGGGGTGTGCAGGAGACAGCTGATCCATGTTTCTAACTCTCTATCCCTTTTCCTTCCTCTCTGTAAAATATCGATACAATATTTTTTTAAAAAATCTATAAAATAAAAAGCGTTATTTATTTATTTATTTATTTATTTATTTATTTATTTATGTATTTATATTTTAAAGAATGAAGGGGGTGGGCGGTGAGCCTGAAGCGAGGCCTCCCGCTTCGCAGGGATGGGCAGCGGGGTGGGCAGAGCCGGGCTCTCCGGAGCGGAGCTGCTATTTATAAGGCTCCTCCAGATCGCAATGTCCCGCCGCCCCGGTGGCTGCCAGCTCCGAGGGACTGGTCTTCGGAGACTTTCCCAAACTTGGCCCCGCTCTGGGCACATGGCTTCCCCCCTCCCCCCGGGGCCACCCCCTCGCCCCCCCTCCCCCGGCCCGCAGGCTCCTACCTGTCCGCCGCCGGGGCGGGGAGCGCGCGCGCCGGCAGCCCGGGGCCCGGCGCCAGGTCCCGGGCATCGCCCCTCCCCCGGGCCGCGCCGCACACCTGGGCGGCCGCCCTGCCCGCCGCGCCCGGGCCGTCCGGGAGGGAAGTGGTCATCGCGGCCGATCCGATCGGGGGCCCGGGCGTCCGGGGGGACCCGCGCCCGGGAGCCGGCGGCGGGAGCGGGAGCGGGAGGCGAGGGGCCGGGGCCGGCCGCCGGGCGCGCTGCAGGTGCGGTGGCCTCGCCGCCTGCGCTCCGGCCCGGGCGGCTCCGGAGCTCCTCCAGCGGCGGGCGCGGCGCAGGGGGAGGCGGGGCGGGGGCGGGGGGTGGGGAGAGGGGAGGAGCGGGGGGTGGGGGCCGAGGGCGGCGGGGCGACGCGCGGAGGGGGCGGGGAGGCAGGCCGCCCGGTGCCGCGGGGCCCCGCGCGGGCCGGGGGCGCCCCGGGGCACTGGCGTCCTCCCCGGGCTCCGGTGGCTGCGCCTCTGGCCTGGCCGCCGGCCCCCCGAGTGGGCGTCGGGGCGCGAGGAGGAGCCCGGGGTCCGAGTGGGCCCCGCGCCGCTGGAGGCGGGGAGCCAGCGGGCGGCGATCCCGACCGGCTTGCCTGCGGGCCTGCAGGTGGGGCTGTGTGCGCGCCGCCCGGACCCCCAGCCCCCTCTATTCCTTTCTTCTCCTCTGCAAGCTGAGATCATCACCTAAGCTGGGGCTGGGCCGCCATGACAGGCCCCACGGGGCCAGGGGGCCAGGGGGCCTCGGGGCCAGGTTGGCCCCAGTCTCCCCTCCTTCCATCCGCAGACCCCATGCTGGGATGGGGGGAATTGGGGGGCCAGGGTGGGAGGAGGGGAGGCAGTAAGTACAATCAATATAGAAAGCTGCTCAAGTGTTTGAGAATTCTTTTAAAAAAGCACAAGGAAACCTGAAGATGTCTTAGGAATTAGAAAAGAAATGATTCATTTTTCTTTTCATCAGAACAGCTCGTGTTTAATAAGTTTCCACTCCCGCCTGGCCCTATTCCCCCTCGCAGCAGCCTCGTGTCAGATCTTACAGATAAGGAAATTGGGGCTGAAAGCCATGGAGGACCTTGAGCAACACAGCCCGTGTAATTGGTGCAGGCAAACTTCCACCCCCCAGAAGATTCCCTATCAAAATCCAGGCCCCTTTGTAACGGCGATTACGTTCCCTTTCTGAGATGAGGCGATTCTACCATGAAGATCCGGGTGCTACTCTTGTTTCTGCTCTTCCATAAGTGCCCCCAGCCCAGGGCACTATGGAGGATTTCCAAATGTTTTATGCTGTGTTCCTTAACCAAATCAGATAACATTGGTCCCTGGCATCTGTTTCACCGGGTTTTCTTAACCTCTACCACCTCTGTCCAGGGAAAGGCAGATGGCACTCTGCCTGCCGAGGAAACGGGCCAAACGTCCCTGCATTCTCCCCATCCCCCGCCCCACCACCACACACACTGGCACCAACCTCCGCTGACACCCAGGGGTCGCTAACTCCCAGCCTTTGAGGAAACTAATAGGAGAAACTTCATGGAGGCAGAAATTCTTTGGGTGAAAGAGCTTAATGAAGCCAAGTTCTTCGTTTTCCTGATGTCAACATTAACACCCAATAAAGAGCAGGATGGCCTGGGTCACGTGGTGGGTGTGTTCTCTAGGAGGCTTTATACAGAGCGATGGCCAAGATAGGACAAAAGGCTGGTTTTCCTGAGGGATTATCATTAATAATGATAATAATGATAGGTCTCATGTAGATGCTGTGTTCCAGGCAAAGCCCTCACTCACATCCAATTCCCTAAATCATGGTGTGGGTTCTGTGTGTGTGTTTTTAAAGAGTTTAATGTAAAAGCATACAGACATATTGAGGTCATGCCAGCAAAATGAAAGTTTTGTATTAGCAGAAAACTTGAAAGAAAGAAACTTTCATTATCATCATCATTGCCATCATCCCTATTTCCATCCAAAACCTGCAGGCAGCCATTTCTCCTCTCTGAAAAAGATACTATTGGAGCACTCTTACCAGGAGAGGCAATTAGTGCGTATCATAGTGACCAGTCATTCCACTGGCTGTTCTGCCTTTCAGTTTACTTGCATATTAGACTTTTATTATATAGGATTCTTTCATGCTTTTACAATTAGCTATAGTTTTGTTTTGTTTTGTTTTGTTTCCTATTATATGTAAATACCACAATTTATTTATCCATTCTACTACTAATAAACATCAGGACAATTTCCAGTTTTTGACTATTAAGACTGCTACCATGAACATTTTGTATACTTCTCTTGGTGCACAAGTGCATGCATTTCCATATGGTATATGTGCAGGAGTGGCATTGTGAGCTCATGATATGTGTATGTTCAGCTTTAGTAGATACTGCCAGTTTCTTAAATTGATTGTACCAATTTTTACCATCATCAGAAATGCGTAAGTTTCCCAAATTCTTGACATCCTTGACAATTGGAATATTACTAGGATTTTTGCCATAGACATTCTGGTGAGTGTATAGCACTATCTCAGGGTGAAATTTGACTTTTCTTTATGACTAATGAGGTTAAGCACTTTTCCACACGGTTATCTGTCATTTGCGCAACCTCTTTTGATAAGTACCAGTTATTCTGCCCATTTTTATGGTGAGTTGTCTGTATTTTTCTTGTTTTTTAATAGTTCTTTTTATTTTCTAGTTAGCAGCTCTTTGTTAACTATATTTTGAGAATATATTTATAATTATATTTAAGAATATATTTTGTAAGTATATTCTTGCATTTTGTGTCTTACATCTTCGAGCTCTTAAAGGTATCTTTTATAAACAGAAGTTCTAAAATATAAGCAAATTTACCTTTTTATAATTATATTTTTACTAGAGGCCCGGTACATGAATTCATGCATGATGAGGTCCATTGGCCTGGCGGGTGATTAGGGCCAATCGGGGCCAGCCGGCCAGGGGGAGGGACTGTGGGAGGTTGGCTGGCTGGCCCCAATTGGCCCCAGGAGGTTGGCTGTGGGAGCGCACTAACCACCAGGGGGCAGCTCCTGTGTTGAGTGTCTGCCCCCAGGTAGTCAGTGCACATCATAGTGACCAGTTGACAGGTCATTCAGTCATTCAGTCACTTAGGCTTTTGTATATATAGATGTCCTGCTTAGAAACTTGTCCTAAGTATTTATTGTTTTGCTTTTCACATTTAATCTGTGATTCACCTAAGACTGATTTGTTTTTCTTTATGATATAAAGGTGGGAAGGTATATGCAGGGCTTCTTTTGTCATAATTCAATAGTCCATCTATCCAGGGGTCTTTCCTGGGCTTTCTCTTCTATTGCATCGTTTATTTGTTAATATTTATACCAATATTACATTGCCTTAATTACTATAATTTATAAAAAGTCATGGTATTCAGTAGAACAATGATTTTTCATTTTATTCTCCTTTAACTTATTAACTGTAGTATTAACTTTGCAAAGACCTGATGGGATTTGATTGGATTGCATTAGATCAGTTTGGGGAGAAATAGTATTTTTTAAAATAACTTTCCCAATCCCAATCCATGAAATTACTAAACTTTTCCACTTGATTATACAGTTGAGCCTAGAACAACATAGGTTTGAACTTTATGTTTTTTTCAATCAACAATTTAAAAAGACTCCCAGAAAACTCTGGAGCCTAAAACAGGTGATTATAAACTTATGGTATGGATAAATATAGTACAGTGTTTGTACAATATATGTAATTTCTCTTCCTTATGATTTTCTTAATATAATATTTTCTCTAGTTTACTTTATTATAAGAATACAGTATATAATAATATCACATGCAAAATATGTGTTAACCAACTGCTTAGGGTATCAGAAGATTTCCAGTCAATAGTAGGCGATTAGTAGTAAATTTTGAGAAAGTAAAAATTTGTATATGGACTTTCAAAGGGTCAATTAAATTCTTAATTTGTTGCAATCATGTTTTATGGTTTTCTGAATAGATCCTTTTCACATATATTCTTAGAGAAATTCTTAGATATTTGATTTTTTATACTATCTTGGATACCTTTTTAAATTTTAATTTTCCATTATTTGTTGTGATGAGAAAAACAACTGATTTCTATGTATTGGTCTTTTTATCTACATAATTACTTTTCACACCTCAACTCTAAATATTTAACTGAAAACATTTTTGTTTCCTATATGCATTTTATATATATATAATATATATGCAATATAATTACTGACAGTTTTGTCTTTGTAATTTTTGTATCTTTTACCTAGCCTTACTATACTGCTTAGAAATGTGAGTACAATGTTGAATATGACATTTAATAGTCCAGATTATAGTCTTATTACTGATCTCAAAGTGATAGATATTAAATATCATATTGTCATACTTTTATAGATACCCTCTATCAGATAAGGAAGAAAGGTTCCCTCATATTCCTTATTCACTAAGAAATTTTATCCCAAGTGGATATTATTAAACAGGTTTTCTGCACTTACTGTGTTGATCATAGGGTTTTCCTCCTTCATTCTAGTAAAGCAATAAATTATATTGATCTTTTCAATGATAAACTAAACTTACATTATTAGAATAAACCCTACTCATTCTTTTTAAATATCTTTTATGTTTGCTGACATTTTGTCGATATGTTTTATACGTATGTTCATAAATTAAATGGGCATATAATTTTCCTTTCTCATAATACTTCTATGAAGTATTGATGTAGGGTTATGATAGCCTCATTAGAGGAGGGAAGTGTTTCTATTTTTATTTTTATTAAAGAATATACATCACATTGGTATTATTTGTTTCTTAATAGCAAATTCATTTTACTTATAAAGCCATGTGGCCCTGTGGTTTTCTTTGTGGGAAAATTTTTAACAAACAACTCAATCTTAAATAGTTTGAAAGGTCTATTCTTAACTTTTATTTCCCCTAGTGTCCATTTTGACAAGTAGTGTTTTCTAGAAATGTATCTCTTCATTGAAATTGTCTTGCATTTCTTGTCAAAAATTAATTGACCACAAATATAAGGGTTCATTTATGGACTTTCAATTCTATTCCATCTAGATTTTATTTTTCTTATATTACTATACTATTTTTATTATTGTAGATTAATAGTAAGCATTGAAATTGAGA